CCATTTTGAATGATTTGTGTGTGTGTAAATCCCTCCATGTATATACTTGCAGTTTATTCATATTGATACCTTTGGTTGTACATTTTTATTAGTCTTTTTCATTCCATTTGATTTAATAGCATTTGTATTTTATTATAGTTTTTATTTTTCTTACGCTTTCACTAAGCTTCCGTGTTTCTTTCTGAACTGCATTTATGTTGTTTGACTTGATACCTATTCTTGGCGGCAGCTATATTGGGTTGTTCCTCCCTTTGATTGTGTTGCGTGCATTGACTGGAATTGTGCATTTTTGATTGTGAGTTGAAGCACTCTTCCAGAATTGAAAACACTTGGTGTTATAAAGCAACCAAACATTATCTTTTGAACGAATCTGTGTGTAATCTATCCAGACAGGATAGAATAACATTTATTTGTTGCGATTGGTAATTTTCTAGCATCCTTTTTCAACTTTCTTATTTAATGTAATTTAGATTTGATTAATTGAACTATTGTTGGTTGGATAGCTGGGTGGTTATATTTGTTTAGGTAACGATGTACATTTAAATTTATGATGAATTATAGAACCGTCATTTCACCCGATTACTTTGTTTTGGTTTCAAACGGGCAAGGGCGCGTATCTAACCCACCAAGACAGCTATTCTTCAGTCCAAACCTTAGTTTGGATCCCACAGGGAGTATGCAACGCAACGCAACTTTCATGAAGCGCGCCAACTGTGATACTGACTAAAACAATTCTGCATTCATATCTTATAAAATATCAACCCAGCTGAGTAATTTACTGCAGTTAGAAATTGTATCGTTTGTATCAATTTGATCTTGGCTGTAAACTGGAATCGGACTTAATTTTATAACCTTTGGGTGGTCTGTATTTAGCTCTTCCTGCTTTTCGCTGGAATGGTGTTATATCTGGAAGTATCTTGATATCCTTGAAAACCTGTTTTTTCTCATTGAATTAGAGAAGGTCAGAAACTTACTAGCGTCTGCAGACTAGTTAAATTTAATCAGGATCGGTGAATACATACCAGGGTAGCTTCATTTTAATATTGAGCACACACATTGTAAATGTGTTATATCACTGGCTCTAAGCAAATTAGACTTGGTATTTTTAAGGTCATATGTGTCCGGCATATTAAACATAATTCAATTGCTAGGTCGTCTGGTTGGAGTATAATTTATGGACGATGTTTGAGCGACGCCAAAGTGACCTTGAAAGTGTCTACCTAATTACAAGGCAAAATGGGTGTTATAAAGCAGATTGAAGAGTAAGGATTATTAGTTACAGTTGATGGTTAGGGTTAGTAATTAGATTTATGGTTTTTCATCATGAACTGACACTAACTAAAATGCCAAGAAGCTATTTAAACATATGGATGAGTGAGCTTCGCACCAAAATCCGAGACCTTTCATCCTGAATCTGTTTGGTTCGTCCATAAATTATAATCTCGTCGATCATCATATCCCTTAAAATACATCTGAAGCAACACGATATAGGAAATTTTCTATGTCATTCATCTGATCTGGATTCTGCGAGGTTGGGGTTGACGAGGTACTTAAGCGGTTTGAGGATGTTTATGTCATTAGAGTCTTCAAGATATCTGGAATGGAGAAAACTGGCATAAGCTCGTCTGATTCTGGACGAGCGGGGTAGCTCGTCTAGTTGAAACTGCCGGAAATCGTGTCGGTGGTGGTATTAGATAGTGTCTTTTTCCTACATTTGGCTGGACGCCTAGAAGCAGGGGCTTTCATTTTCTTTTGTGACATGACAATAAAGTAACAAGTAGCAGGTGGACTGAACAAAATGTTAGTAATATAAATGTGTAAAAAATCAAGGCTGAGGGCTCAAGATAGTTTAGAAATCGGAACCTCTGTTTGAAACATGTGTGAATGTATTTTGAGGATTAGTGAAGGTAGTAAAAACAAGAGGGGAGCATGGCAGAAAGATTGTAGCAGAGATGTAGAATGTATATCAGTACATTTGTGGAGGCAAAATAGAATATAAATGTGCAGATTGGGTAAAGTTTAACATGTATATTACGCGGAAAGATAGCCTTATATAAGGAAGTAATCTAGAACTGTCGATAATTAGTATCAAATAATCAAAGTGGGTACGGCATGTTGTACATATATAAACTGAAGGCTTGCATTAGTTAAAATTGGGGGGGGGATACAGAGATATGTAGTTTCGAAAATTAATACCATCCAGAATTATTATGATGCTTTGTGGGCACAGTCTAACCTGTTTGCTGGATTCATTGCTTCTTTTACCTGCGTTCGATAGTTCTCTATAGTTTTCACTCTTCTTTAAGTTGATTCTATGAGTTGGAAGATTTTCCTGAGATCCATCCTGAACTAGCTGAACATATCAGTATCATGAAGAGTGTCTGAATGCAAGTCTGTAGTACTATTTTACCAACGGCACAAAGCTTCCTCAATTTTTAAGAAGAGGTATTGAAACACAAATTCCAACACTCCTATTTTACCCTGGTGTGGGACTGACAGTAACTGAATGCAGGCTCCAGGTGGAACTTTAGAACTATATAAGAACCATGTAGTTCATTTGATGCCAGTGAGTCCTAGATGTTGTAAACACTCTGTGGAGCGTTTCGTAACCTGGATGAAAACGTGTCCAGAATATTGTACAGTGTGTATGTAAGACTGCATCTGACATGCAAGTCGAGACTTCGTAACCTATTTCCAATAATTCACGATAGGTTAAGTTCTAGTGTAATCATGATTTACTTCGGCGAAATGATTAGTTATTTTTTCCTTCCATTTATGAACAGTAGTCTGAGAACATATTCTAAGAAAGTTCAAATATCAAAGTGAAGTCCATGTTTGGAGATTGGTTTTCCTTATTTATACGTGAATTACTCTAGTTCTTAGATAGAATAGGTTTTATCCACAGATTTTGTTAATAAAACCAAACAGAGGTTCAATATTTACAGCTATGTAATCTGTGAGCAGTAACATAGGTTACTCAACCTTATATCTTTACTCATAGACATTGTGCATTGAGTTTTGGCGCTTGCTTGACTTGGTGCGGTGTGTATAGGTTTGTTGCAGATGGTTTTGCGATTTCGAATTCCCATTTAACGTTTAAATATGTTGCAAATTACACATATTTCTTACAAAAATTTTGATTCTGGAGCGACCAGGTTTGTTGACTGATAATTGTAGGTTCGGTGACCACGTACACACCCATGGCTTGCTGTCCGCCTGGAACATCTGTATTTGACGTCTCGTACCTTGCCAGTACTACCACCATTACCGCTGTCATTTTTGTTTGTATTAATACAATAAGCTTATCTCGAGTCACCTTCCTCCATCATTTTTTGACATCTGTTCATATCGTTTCCACGTACCATTCTGACCGTTCCCAAACTCCCGATTTTGGGGAAGCCGCTATGGTAAACTTTGGGGAAACGGCACAAAACCCTCGAAATTTCCCTTTAACCTTGGTGAAGATCATTTGCCTTCGAGGGTTCTCCCAAAGTTTCCCGAATTTTGGAAGCTCGGGTTATTTTCTCTTCGCTCTTCTATATTCAGTTTTATAATCTCTCATATTACAACTCAATCTCCTGTACTTCAACATGATATTCCGTGCACTTAGCAACCTCAATGCTTCAGAACAAACCCACGAACTTATATTCAAGAAGAAATTTTCTTAATCGAGAGCTGCAGCTCTCGAATTCATAAGGGTTAGTGCTGTTTAGCTGCTAAACTACCCACATTGTACCATACTGAATCGTAAAAGTGTATTTTAACATCATGAAGCGTTCCTGAAAACCAATCCATTAACACAAATCCGTCGTATTGGGAGTCCACCCTCAAACCCCCTGTGTGTTATGTGTAGGATATGCGAAATATAGCTCACAATTGTATTTGAGCCTTACCTTCACAACCAATGATTAATCTATGGTCGCTCCAATTTCGTACTTCGTGTATATCGCGCAATTTCGTTTTACTCATACTGTGAACTCGTTTTTGCGTCGTAGTTTTGGCTCACTCAGATCACTTTCACTTCATGATACTATATAACCCAAACTATTCTACCTCATAAACCTCAAAATATCTTTGCAACTTTCGCTTTTTCTCCTTCGACTCTCTGGGATGCTAAGTATATCTTCCTCTCGGTTTGCCATTTATAGTTTTTGCATCGCTTAGTTCTAGCATAATAATATGGTGTATATTCTCATAAAAGCAACTCAAATTGTGTGCGTAAATTAGTTTTATCGAAAAAACTCTTTGATGCTGTAATAAATTTGGTCACACACTGAGTATGTAGATTGTAGAAACATGTTCAGAGCGATTAAACTTTTTTTCGAATTTTCAGGATTTCTCTATGTGCATCGAATTCCCTAACTCGTACGTAAGTATTCTGACATAAATTTCTACACATGCGTAGTGTTATAGTCAGTATTTCTGTGTGCATGTCGATATATCCCGATATTTTGATATGAAGGTTGGGCTCTTGAGTGTTCTTTTCATACACACTACTCGATAGTGCTAATTATTCCTGACAAGTAAGTTTTTCAGTTAATTAACCTGGTACTGGCTAAGTATGCGGTCTAAAGCCGTCAGTTTTACAAACACTAAGTGGCTGCTCTACAACTGTCAAAATGCGCGATAATATTCAAAGTGGTCCAATTATATGTTCACAGAAAAATTAACTTTGGTACATCGGCTATTTCAGTTTAGAAAGGACAGGAGGCTTAATGGCCTGTGTTATTCCTCATACTCGTCTCGTGACAGTCTTTTCATTGATATTTCCTCGACTGAGTAAGCACACTTATTACTCGTCTTCGAGTGAAATGAATAATTAATGACAACTAAGTCTACAATATTAGCGAGTAACGTAATATATGTTTATATATACATATATAAGATCAATTTTTAATTTAGTTCCACTAATCGAGTCGCATATATACATATAGAGTTTGTATTGTTGATAGATATGACATACTTCATACCAATTTCTTTGATCTCTAGAAGGATTCAATATGACCCAAAGGATTACTTCATGTACTGTTTCCGAAGTACCTGAACGTTTATGCACTTCTTCCATGGACGCACTACGAATCTCACCGTTTACTGCCGATGTATGCAGAATAGAGCACACTCAGTTCGGTGAAGTTTATATTTGTAGAGTGTGCAATGTGAAATGCACTGGTAAAGCGCCATTTTCCCAGCATATATCTGGATCACATCATAGAAAAAACTGCAATACCAGTAAGCTCCTCACTTCACATTAATAATAAATATTGTTGGTATAGATACCTATTTCTGTAACGAGTGCAATACAAGCCTTAATTCTTCTGAACAATATGCCCTACATTGCAATGGATCAAAGCATATGCGGAATACAATTTCTTCTTCTGACAATTCTATGTCTGAACAGTTGGGAGTTGAGCAACAATTCAATAAAAGCGACAACGTTCCTTACTTCTGCATACCTTGTGGTCTTAGTTGCTCTTCTAAAGAGCAACTGGATTCTCATTTCTTAGGTAAAAAACATAAGAAGCAATGTAAAAAATATAAGCCATCTGCATCAGGTCACCTGTCGGGGTATGTTTTGAATGCACAATTAAGTCAACCGATTGGCCAACCTGACTTTTTCTCTTCAATGCCTACTTTATTCAACACAGCTAGTGAGAATTCGCCAAACTTTTGGTTCCCAAAGTTGGTTCCTTGTATAAGGAATATCATAGAGCTGGAGTCTAAATTGACATTAACAAATAACTTTCCTCCGTTTTTGGCTTCAGTCACTCCCTGTTCATATCAGGAGCGAACAGATTTAAAGAGTGATCTTTCACCCAACCAGCAGGATAATGGCGACTCTTCTGAGCCCAAACAGTTTTGTAGACACGGCGAATGTATTCTGATGAGATCACTGCAGGTAAGAAAAAACTGATAGTAATTTGTGTTATAACCTTGACTGTTTATTTTGGGACGTTTGTTCTTAGTATGAGTAGATTATCAAATACATTATTCGATTGTAACACGTGCTTGGTGCAGAAAAGCACCAAGAAATGTACTACACAGTTTGGCAACAGTTTAGATGAGTTAACAAAAAAATTTGTTTAATACAATTATGAGAGATATTAGTGTACAACCCCAGTAGGAACAACCAAGATACGATATCTTTGCTTAAAAATCGGTGTTATAAAAAACACAAGAGAGACCTACAGCAGGAGTACCACTGGTTTCTCTAAAACTTGTAATAACATATGTAATCACTGTTATTCATTATCTTTGGATCCCACCTATAAAACCGCAATGACCCGAAAAATGCTATCCTACAGCGAACAGTCTTCATTTCTCTACTTTTCCATTAACTGGTAGTCTCTTTATTTCCCCCCTCTAACGTTTGAGGTGACATGGAAAGCATCTGTGCCACACGGACTTCTAGACCGTTTCCAACGGTGCATGAGAGCTAAGAATACCATTATTTTTTTGGGAGTACTGTGCATTTCAGTTGTTTAAAGTAAATACCATACTCAGGTCAATCAGCGATCAACAAACATATTGAAATCAATCCGATTTATCAACCAATCAGGAAACTTATGCACAAATATAGGAACAAGAATCAAACCAATAGTAGACAAAACCAAAACAAAAAAGTAAACAATGACAAATTTAAGGTCAATAAAAACCAATCAACATCGAGGTGTACAGAACATGCTGTGAAACGCATATGGAGAAATTCGAACACTTCACTTCTATCTAAAGTTTGTGCTGATGATGTCGTTCAGAAGAACGATGAAAGCTCCACGACCAAACCATCCAGTTCAGAGAACAAAACTCCATGAAAACCATACTTACGAACATTGATTAACAACTGATGCTGCTTGGTTAGCCTGTATTTCATCGCAAAGTAAAACGGAATCATCTGCGAACTGAATGTCAAGATCTCTTTGTTCAGGTATAAGATTTGCACTACATTATCGCGTTGCACTCAAAGTTTATTATCACGTTAAAGTCAAAAAGAAATAGCGGGATGAGATGATCCTATTCAATCCTACTGCCGGATAGAAACATCGGAGCGAGATAATTCTGTGTCTTCACTCTGTCTGAAGTAATTTCCAAACGGGCTTGAATGCTAAGGTTGTAACTCAGATACATTCTGCAACAGTCGGTTTTTAAACTATCATATCAAAAGCAGCTCTATTGTCTAAAAATAACGATGATCAGTCTTCAGTGCTTTTGATAGTGTTCAGGTCACGACGCGTCGAATCCATTCAAAACGTAGAGGAAATGCGACATATTTCTTCCTAACTGGTCTTTCCTTTATTTTGCATAACCTGGAATAAAATAGAAGTCTATGTTTTTACGTCCTTACGCCTGTTACTGCCCGTAGAATATAGGTCACTGGCCAGGATTCCCCAGACTTCTCTTCCTTGGGCTTTCCCTTTCAGTTCTTGTCAAGTGGTTTGGATTGTTTAGATGTCCGCCTCAAATTCCTGGTGCAATATGTTCTTTGTTCTTTCTCTTTTCATTTTCACTTGAGGGTTTTAAGTTAGAGTGGGTTTTGTGATACATTTTGGTGATTTCCGCAATATGTATCATATCCACATCCAACGTCTTTCCCTAACTTCCTGTTCAGCTGGAAGGTGGTTTGTTGTCTGCCACAGCAGGTTGTTGCTGATGATACCTGGTCAATGTATCCGGAGAATCTTGGGTAGACAACTTCTTACAATTATCTGTATTTTTTGATATTTGTTTCAGCTCCGTATATGAGGACTGTCTTGACGTTTGTATTAAAGAATCTGATTTTGGTGTTGGATGACAGTTGCTTTGAGTTTAAGATGTTCTAAAACTGGAAATGTTTCCTTTGCTATGCCAATCTGTGCCTTCACATCTGTATCAGATCCCCTTTGTTTATCAGTCATGCTGCACAGGTAGCTAAAAGTTTCCACCTGATCCAGGGCTTCTTAATCTTTTGTGATTTGGTTGGTACTGTGTGTCATATTTTGGGATCTTGCTTTTTCCCTTGTCATAAAAAGACCTTGGTGACCAGTTTCAAACAGTCCCTTGGGTTATCCGGTTACCCTCCCAGGCCACTAAGACCACCATTAACCCAACTTCCTTTTCAAGTATCACGAAGAAATATTTGTACAGTGTGAGATGTTTAAAAGTGAGAACGGTCTTCATACGTCTGACAACACTTAAGATCATCTTGTTCACAATCAAATCCCTCCCTTACCGCTCATTCTGGAGCACATATCTAGACTCAAATCATGCTCTAGAACGACCACGTGTTTTTCTGTTTATTATTGGATGTATCAGAAATATATCAAGAAGAAACCTTTGAGTTCGACTTAATAAGGTAAAGGTTAAGAATATATTTCAGGAACAACTAATGGAGTTGGTCAACCTTGAAGTTATATCCACCCCGAGGTAACTTAATATGATATACAAACAACTATGAAAGCACCTTAACTAAAAGGTTAAGAAAAATCAGTGGACTTTAGCGGCGTCTACTGAAATGATATATACCTATTAACTCACCCCATCTGCCTCCAAATACAATGATGGGCAGAGCCAGCTTTAACGTCGGGTGATAAAAAGACTACACAATATTCATGGGAAGTGGTGGGTGGCGAAAGCAAAAGAGGTAGGAAAGACAGCGTCGATAGGTAACAACAGAACATTATTCACTCTTAATCCAGGAGGTTGGACCGATTGGCATAACGCTTTAGGGAACAGTTTAACTAGCCTTCGGCCGCACCCACTAAATAACTTGAGTGACAAATTGATGTCAGTTCTCTAACTCTAAGTGAGGTTGGAAGGAACATAGATAATATAAAACGAAGGAAAGCATCAGATTCCAATGGATTAGTTTTGCAGATCTTTAAGGACGGTGATCCGGTTTTAGCAGTTAAATTGACTGAGATCTTAGCTAGAGTTTAAGGAACTGGACATAATCCCATCTGACTGGTCCCGATCTTTGATCTTCCCGGTTCATAAGATGGATAAAAATCAGTTTGACTATATAGTATCTAAAATATAACTTTGTAAACAGCAAGCTCGAGAAAATCAAGCTGGTTTGAGACCTGGACGTGAATTTGTCGATCAAATGCACGTCTGATCACAGTTGTATTTCTTAACTTTGAGGGAACATGGACCCTGTTGGTCAAGAGGTTCTGTTTCAGTAGCTGTCATTGGGATGCGTGCCTGAGAAGTAAATAAACCTTGTTCAAACACTTCTGATCGAGTTAGAGCTTATAGCCATATGTCATTAGAATTTTCAACCTCAAGTAGTGTTCGTCAGGGGTGTCCACCTTCATCATTCTTATTTTACTTTGTCACGGGCTTTTTTAGTGATAACATTCATCTATCTTTTCATGAGTTGGTCTACTGTGACATTCGTATGTTTACTCATAATATTGTCCTGTTTGGTGAATACAGTGGCAAAATGCTATCTTTCGATCATTTTTAGTAGCAGTGCATGTGTGTTAGGAGTGGGTTTGTTTCCGTAGGCGAGATGTCCATCTTCCAACCAAAGGGTGAGTTTATCGTGTAGTAGTTCGCCTTATTCTACTTTTTGAGTGTGAAGTATGGCCATTAAGAATAGAGTAAATTAGTTCTACTGGTTCATAGGTATCTTAGAAACGTTTCTCTTTTTTTTGGGTGACCAAGTGAACAATGTTGAGGCTAGACTTAGGCTGAAATGATAAATCAGTTGATAAACTAGAGAATGTTCATTCACTCAGGTGGTTGGGAAATTTATAACGTATACCAAACTGCTGCCTGCTTCGACGACGAATGATTTAGTCTAGTAGAATGGTAGGGGCGACCAAAACAAAACATGGCACCAGTCCATGAAGTGATTGATAATTTAATTGATCTATGTTGGTTGGTGTGGACTACGTGGTTGATGTTCGCGTGATTTATTACAACCAGTGCTCAGAGACTTTGAGTGACATGGTTCGAAGTCATTCACTATGGTACAGGTGCATTCACTTCATTTTTCATTAGGACCTGAGTCCCAAAATCTTGTACTTTCTTTTTTGTTTACATAGTCTTTCCTACTACTACTCTGGGATTTGCCTTGAAAATCTTATCTCTGTGTTAATGCATTATGGCCGTCTAAACGAATGCGCAAACTTGTTAGAGTCTACGTTGCACATGTCAGCTACAGCTTAGGACTAGGCACATATCCATCGGTCCAAGATGCCATACCTCATATGCACAACAAGATGAACAACAAATTCATAGAAATAGTTACTTCGATGGTAGTATCCTATAAAAATGTTTGCATATGAAGATATAATACAAGAATAAAAAAGTTCGTAGAAAGAAAGGTATAAATTAATGTTAATCTAACGGTTTAAGGAAAGACAAAGAGTGTCTAAACCTACGCCATTGTGATCGATTCTAAGCCATGTCACTCATAGTCTCTAACCATTGTTTGCGATAGTCGCACAGACCCCAACCAAGTAGTTTGCATCTACCAACATGGCTCAGACCAGAAGTTAGTGACTTCACGGATTGATGCCACGTTTTGGTTTGGCCGCCTCTTACTTTCTTCCATCTCCAACACTAGTCAATATTGCGCGTCGTGGTAATCGGTGTTCAGGCATATGTAATATGTGGCTCAACCTGTTATGACTTGCGCCCTGTCAATTTTATTATGTGACTTATTCACCATTTAGGACACGACTTATACAATCTTAGTACTGTGCCAAATCAATGACGTGTTGACCCGTACGAGCCACCTAGAGTCCTTATTGGTCTTTCTCGTCTAGCCCTGACTGTTGAGTCCAGAATACGGCTTCTACTGTATGAATCATATACTTGGTTTATATACAAGTAAACCAGACCATATCATACCATAAAATAACAATTATACAGGATCAAGTGGAAAGTGGCTGTGATCATGAAAGACTGTAACTA